TAGAAAAGCAACGCAACCTATCAATTGAATTTAATGCTGCTGTCCATTCTGTTGCTTCAGGTATTTTCAAGACATTTTACAGAAGGACAAAAGCAGCGCGAAGATAAAGTTCCACAGCAACGGCACCTGGTCGCCTGTGCCCAGCAGTGAGCCCGAGGAAACTGCGCCAGAAGTTCCGAAGAATATTCCTGTGTCTAAGAGGAAGTTTTCTCAAGTTGATGAAGTGGTTGTGATTGACTTAGAAGAGGAGGACCCGTTCACGCGAAAAGGTGGGCTCCTTCAAATCTGAACAGTTTTCTTAACTTCAAAAACGTCAGTAGTGATTTGTTTAAGAATCGTCATCTAAGAACTTGGTTTACAAATACTGAAATCCTGCGGGAAATGTATTCAACAGCATGATTGGTTCTCAGTTAATAAAAGATATGGGAGAAGGAGGAGAGAGACAGAGATTTTATTTTATTTATTTATTCATTTATTTTTACCTTTTGTCTCTTCTTGTTTTTCTTCCTCTATTTTTTCCTTCCTTTTGTTTCTTTTTTATCTTCAATTATTTATTTATTTATCTATTTTACCTTTTTTCTCTTTTCTATTTTTTTCTCTTTATTTTTTTAACATCCTTTTGTTTCTTTTTTCTTCGTTTATTTCATATTTTTTTTCACCTTTTTCTTTTTATTTTGTTTTATTCTCTATTTTTCTTCCTTTTGTTTCTTTTTCTACGTTCATCTTAATTGCTCTTCCCCGTTTATCATTTTATTCTCTTTATTATTTTCCTTTTTTCACCCTTTTCCTCTTCTTTTATTATTTTATTCTCTCCTTATTTTTTTGCCTTTTCCTCTTCTTTTATACTTTTATTTATTTATTTATTTTATGTTTTTCCTCTTCTATTATTCTTTTCTACTGTCTTTATTTTTCTTTTATTTATTTATTTTACGTTTTTCCTCTTCTTCTATTATTCTTTTCTACTCTCTTTATTTTTTATTTAATTTCTTTTTACGTTTTTCCTCCTCCTATTTTTTTCTCTCTCTCCTTATTTTTTTTTCTCCCTTCCTTCTTCAGATCCAATCACGGACCGAAACAACAACAGCCTCGGCCACAAAGAGCCCAACGGAATCGAGGAGGATCCAGCCACGGTCTTCCTTCCTCCTCCCCCTCCCCCCCCTCCGACGACGACGATGACGACGACGACGACGACGAAGGATGGTTTGTTCTTCGAAGCGTCTTGGTTCTGTTGGTTCTGCGGTCTCTTTGGCATTTTTCTGTTCGTCGTCTTTTCTTTCTTGAGGCCGTCTTTATCGTCGTTCCCTTCTCTCTTTATTCGTTTTTTTTGTTGTCGATTTTTTTTTTTTTTTTGTTCGTCTTTGTATTTTTATTCCAGTTCTTATATTTTTTTATTGTTTTTTATTGTTGTTTTTCTTCCTGTTCTTGCCCTCTTCTACTACTCCTCTTCCCCCTATTCCTCCTATCCCTCTTCCTCCTCCTCCTCTTCCCCTTCCTCCTCCTTCCTCCTCTTCCTCCTCCTCCTCTTCCTCTTCCTCCTCTTCCTCCTCTTCCTCCTCTTCCTCCTCTTCCTCTTCTTCTTCCTCATCCTCATCCTCAGCCTCCTCCTCCTCCCTGCTTGCTCTTCCCCCCCCACACACACACCCGTTCCTTCACCTCCTCCACTTCCTTGTCCGTTCTTCCTCCTCTTCCTTCTCTTCCTTCTCCTCCTTCTCTTCCTTCTCCAGCTCCTATTCTTCTTCATCCTTTTCTCTCCCCTTGGAACACTCTTCCTCTCCCTCCTTGCCCCCCCCCCCTACCGCTCCCCCACCTCCTCTTCCTTCTCTTTTTCTTTTCCCCCTCCTCTCCCTCTTCCCCTTCGTGCTTCATCTACATTGGTGTTTCTCCTCCTTTTTCATTATTATGTGTTTCATTCTCTACCTCGCATTTATCCTCTCCCCCTGACACCAGCAAGTCTTCGAAACACGATTCAGGATATTATAATTCAACGTTATATTATATTAGGATATCATAATTCAATTTTTTAATGTAGTGATAGTCCCAGCATTTTTGTTTTTGTTCTTTGAGTGATTTAATGTCTTTTTTATGCACTTCCTTGCATAAATCCCATGGCCCTTTTCCATGTGTACGTAATTTTGTAACAATCAGACGTTGCTTTCAGATTCACGAGGGAAGAGGAGGAGCAGTAGAATCAGTATGTCTTCGGTACAGATTCCCGTGACAATTGAACCCCTGGCCAAACGCATGAGGACTAGATCGACGAATCGCCAAAGCAGTCAGACGAATGGTATTGTATTTGTTGTATTTTGGCTCTAAAGTGTATGTTTGTTTAGGGTTATGAAGCGCGGTCGTAACGATAAACGAAACGGCAAAGTAGATGATATCTTAAGCTCTTTTCCAGCTGTGCTTTTGCTCTATTGGGTGTTATTACGTAGGTTACTGAAACGGTGATGATTAATAAAGAAAAGGCCAGACTTAGATATTCTCAAACTTTTTTTGGTGTTGGCCATACTTAAAGGACTTGTTTTTTGCGTGAACTATAATATATAGACTACAAGCTTAGATATGTAATACGTTTTAATACATGTAATTATGTTGTTGTTTTTTTTAGTGTTGACAGCTCCATTCAGTTGTTTGCATGAGTTGTATTAGTATTATGTCACAATGACGTATACATTATGAATATATACTTTTAAACCGTTAGCCAGGGATTTATGTATTAACCACTGCAGTTTTTTGTGAATTTTGTTGCTCACATAGCACCACAAGTTCTTAGTAACTGAGCACTAGTAGAGCCATTTGCTTGTGAACACAATTACATTACAGCGAACATGACATGAATACTATGTAATCTCACCCAGCAGGGTGGCTTAAGCCATCCCCCCTTCTTTATATTACATCTTGCAGAAGCTAATACATGTAACCTTTATAGTCTTAAGATGAGACTGATCTGGTTCGCACTTAGACAACAGGCCTTCCACTTTCAGAATCCCTGAACCTTCTCTATTCTCCCAAACAGAGGTGTGCATTAGCCTCTCGGCAGACAGCACGGAACGGAGGGCCAGCAGAAATTCGAAAAGCTCAAGGAGAAAACACAGATAAAGTTGGCCTAGAATTGCAGCTCAGAATACGTTTTAATTTTTCGCTGTAAATTGTTGTATGAATGTGTTCTGTTATTTTAAAGAACTGTTTTAGATTTTACAAGAAGTAATGTTTTACACAAGTTTGCATTGTATAACTTCTCCATTTATTTTAACGATTCCAAATTTCTCATTATTTCACAGATTAGAAAATGTTTTAAGACGCGCTGTTTTGAGTGATTGTTTTATTATATTAACTTCGGAATATGATTCTTTGTTTTCTTTTATAAATCTGTTTTTTTTACAGAAAAATGAAATGTGTGTCGTTTCAAAATGAATTGTAATGTCCAGACTTTGGCTTGATTTATACCGTAATCGCGAATATATTTGATTGAAATATTCCCTGACACGAAAAAGATATGTAACTAGAATTATTTGTATATCATGAAAGAATAATTTATCATAAGTAGAAGCCAGTTTCTTTTAATAAACTTTGACTTTTATTTTTGTTTTCTTCCTTTCAAAAATAGTTATTGTTCAAGATTGATTTACCTTGATTTAAGAGAACGCATGACTATTTTAGACGAAGTGTTTTCTGAAAGATGGGTTGTAGAGAAATCTTCAGTCGAAAATGTTTACCAAAGTAATTTTTACATTGAAACTTGTGAAAGTCAACATGTAAAAGTCAACTCAGGAAATTTAGCATTTGTTATAATAAATAAATTTGTTATATATAAGCGCTTTGGGGTTAGACTTGGTCACCAACAAATTTTGGCCTAATGTTAATCTGCAATAAAATTAAATATATTTGTGAATTATCAGCTGACTTAGACACCGGTCTACTCACACTGCCAAATGTATATATTTTCTTTCTATTGAAATCTTACTGTTAATAATTATAAATTGGTTTGTGCAAGTCTTGTGCATAATAACTATATACATGCATAGATAATTTATTGTAACAGAAAATGAATTAACTGAGAGATTTGACAAAGGAAGATGGTATTCATTATAAATTAGAATTACTCTCATCATTCAGCAGAGCTTATTTGTGTATCAGACTTTCTATAATATACGCTTCTGGTAGAACAGAATCACGCAGTGTTTGTTCATCACGCAGTACATAGGAAGAACAAACGCCATCACAAGCACCTGTTCTTCTTTGGCTACAGGAAACTAAAACCAACATATGCTTCAACATATATTACAGATCCATAAATAAAAATACAATTCTTGGAATACCTTGTAAATGAATAATATGATCAACAATTGCCTATATTTTTCCTGCATAATCAAGAAAATATATGCTTCTCTGTCTTAACAATACTCACTTGGGCACACAACATGACATACATTCAGTGCATCAGAGTTATAAGGCAGTGCGTGGACATTTATTATAAAGGACGATAATTTGCGGTTAATTCTTGACAAGATCTGCGGCTGTTAACCAAGAGTAAGGTATTCCCACAACGAAAGGGAATACCCACAGTGTTGGTCGACTTGGGATAGAAAGCCATGAGGCAAATCAGAGGAAGAGGTAGACTGACACAGACCAGTACATTCGGCCGAAAAATGTATATCTGAAAAGTGTGATTTATCTAAACTTTGACACTTATTTGGAAGGGGATGTTCACCTCATGTATTCTTAGTATTATGGTCTGGTAAGAAAGAGCATAAACACACATATGAACACACTAATATGTGTACGAAGATGAATTGAAAAACAGCCACAGTGGTAAAGAAAAAAACATAATCGTGGGGTTTCGGATGGAACTTTACTCCCTGTCAGATATTAAAATGGTCTAGTTTTTCTGTGTTTTTTTCAGTGTATTTTTTCTGTATTACTGTGATTGCGTTTCCTTTCAATCGTTTACATTTATCTACATGTATTTACCTAATATTATCACTGAAACCTATCAAGTATATGGCATATAATAGTTTTTTTTTTATTACAATTAAGTGATGCATAATAAAGACCATATTTGTTTTCCTTGAATGATAACCGCGGGTCTTTTCAACAATTCACCAGAACAGCTTTCTCTAATTATGTATACACCAACACACTAAACAACATAGACAGTCAAAGAGAAGAAAGTATCAGAGTGAACATTCTATTTTATGTAATCTTGGTATATTAGACGAGCCATTTTTTTCCTGTAGCACTTCGTGTTTGGAATTTTGTCTCCATATGATGAAGAAATAAGAGTGAGATATAGTTTTCAACCATTCATTCAAATATGCTCGGGCAATGTGCTTGGGCATATATGATTTATATATAAAATTCATAAGTTATCAGTATAACAACTTGCGAAAGTTGACAAGCGAGCAGCATCAACCAAGATATCACCCTTGATCAGATGCAATTACGAAAAAAAAATCACAGCCTTTGTTGCTCATTACTGCAACTAGATGCATTTAGTTGACAAGGCTTGCAAAAAAATTAAAACAGCAAAATAAGGCAATCAAAAACAGAGATAATGAGGTAAAACAAAGAAAGCACTTGCAAATAGTTCACGTGCTTCCATACGTCACATTCACAATTCAGAATAGATGGTTATTCTAAAATACATTTTGATTTCATCTACAAAATAAATATCTATGGGAAGACTACTGGACAACAGAAGGGTGAGCAAGAACTTATTTCGGTATCAAAAGGAAATTAATATTAACCTTACACAAAAAATATAAACATTAACCAGGATTTTAGAAAATTCTTAACTGATTTCCTTCCTTGGCGATCAAAGATTCTTGTAAATCATTTATGAAAATCGAAATAAAACATAATTAATGCTACATAACACAGGTAGTTGGTTCCGGATTGGATATGGTCGAGTGGCAAATCACCCACCGATAGATGGCAGAGTAATCGATAGAACATATTTCCGTGTAACCAGTAAGAGTTTTCACATAGTTTTAGTTAACAATTGGACCATTCCTGATATTATAAACTAATGGCCATCATTACACCGCCCAGTACAAGGAACTAATTATACATTAATGAACATCCAAATATAATTTTTTCCTCTAAATGAAGAAAACAAAAAATCCGATTTTTGACAGAGACCTATCGCGGAAATTGACTATCGATTAACATCATAAACACTTATTTCTCAGTATCGAAATGAGTATCTGAAGGTTCACTCCATAACAAGAAATATACTTCAAATTACTTCATATCTTCTATTTGTTTCTTCAAATTTCTTACTGTGGTTCAAGTAAAAGCCGCCGAGGACCACTAATACAGAACAGAGATAGAGATATACTTTCACCTTTGTATTGCATCTGTACGTAACGAGAATACTGTATTTAATTCTACGGACTGTTTTCATTATGCTGAAAACTGCATTGCAGGAATCGGTACCGTTTCTGTTAGAATTACGTCTGGAGACTAGAATTCACGCTCATGGTATATCATAAATAAAGAATATGTTATAATCTATATATAAATAAATGTGTTTGTGTCTGTGACTTTGTGTTTCTGTGCTCGTGTGCGTATGTGTCATTTTCATGTGTGTCTACGTCTGCACCTGCGTCTGTCTCTGTGACTCAGCCTGCGTGTAATCTTCTATAAATATTCATCCCTGGATAACCCCTTACATTATGCTTATCCCCTAACCCTTAGCACAAACACGACCCCCTCTCACACCACCCTAAGACGACCTCCTTCTACCCCTTCTACTCAGGCGACGGCATGCACTTCAGCCTTTCGAAAGACGCCTTCTCGAGAGCCTCTCTGTGGTCGGGATGGGAAATCTGAATGAGTGCGTAGGCTCTCTGTCTCAGGTTCTTCCCGAAGAGGTACGCGATGCCCCACTCGGTCACCAGGTAGTGCAGGTGAGCTCGCGTCGTTACCACGCCTCCACCTGCAAAGAGGATCGAGTGCCATTCAAACATGACGCGGTAAGCTATACAATACAGTTTGATATTTATATGTAAATATAAAGTGAATTGTTGGGGCTCTACGTAAAAAGACCTGAAAACCTTGATGATGGTATGAAATCTTCCATAGTAAAACACCCTATAAAATACGATGTTTAATTTATCAGTAAAAGTAAAGTATAATCTTAGCCTGAACACAGAGTAGGGCAACTCTATATCATACGATCTAAAACAAAATAAAACGAAGTGAACTTATAGAGCAAACAAGAAGAAAGTATCCTCGAGAATTCTTGTCATCAACCAACACAGTGCCTTTGCCAATTACCTTGCTTAAGGAATGGCACGATCTTGGACTCCCCCCTCGAGGTGGTGGAGGGCATGGCGAGGATCGGCTTACCCTGCCCATCCCGCCCGACGGCTGCGCCTCTTATGAAGTCCACCTGGCCGCCCACACCTGCAACCAGACATACATACTAATAAGTGATCACCGTTCAATCCACGTAGCACGCATCTGGAACTTTATACACCTGCAACCAGACATACATACTAATAAGAGGTCACCGTTCAATCCACGTAGCACGCATCTGGAACTTTATACACCTGCAACCAGACATACATACTAATAAGAGGTCACCGTTCAATCCACGTAGCACGCATCTGGAACTTTATAAACTTTATAAAGGAAGATGTAAATACAGAACATTGAATCCTACTGCTTCGAATCCTTCAACTAAATCTTATTCAAATACACGAGTAAGAACACAACGAAGTGAGCGACACCGACCTGAGTACATCCGGGTACCTATGGAATCGGACACGACCTGGCCCGTCAGGTCCACTTCGATGCAGGAGTTGATGGCCGTCACCTTCGGGTTCTGCGCGATGATGGGGATGTTGTTCACGAAGGACACGTCGCACATCACTGCCGGCCAAGAGGGGAGGGTTAATATAATCCTATGGCCTTTGCGACACTGCAATTGCATCCCATGGACTCTGCAACACTGCAACTGCATCCTACAGACTCATGGAGTCTGCAACAATGTAATTGGATCCCATGGATTCTGCAAAAAGTCCCGTGGGCTCTGCAACACTGCAATTGGCTCCCGTGGCGAGGGTCAATATCAGAGTGACCTGACCTCGGCCCACTCGACCTAATCTTATAAAATTTCTTTATTCTGTCGTAGTGTCTCCGTTTGCACAGGGAAGAGAATGTATCTACATAAAAATAAGATGCATTAGCTTTTACTTGTATATCAGTTTGATATAAATTACAAGTACGACATATGGCTTAGAAGAAATTACTGATACTATCTTTGCATAATATTGAAGACAGATTCATCGATATTCTAATGATCCTCCACATGGAGGAGGAGGAGGAGGAAGAGGTGGAGGAGGAGGAGGAGGAAGAGGAGGAGGAGGAGGAGGAAGAGGAAGAGAAAGAGCAAGAGGAAGAGGAGGAGGAAGAGGAAGAGGAGGAGGAGGAGGAGGAGGACGACGACGACGACGACGACGACGACGACGACGACGACGACGACGACGACGACGACGACGACAAGGAAGGAGGAAGGAGATGGAGAAGGAAAAGAAGAAGTAAGAATAGGAGGACCATGAAGAAAAGGAAAATAAATTGAAACTGAGAAATACAACGACCAAGAAAAGAAGAAGTACAAGAATCCAGAAGAGAAAGAAGAGAGAGAGAAAAAAAAACCCTAAAATCCTTAAATCTACGTCGTGTCCCCAAAATCCTAAGGCAACTCACTGACGAAGGGATTGTTGTCCACGAAATCGAAGAGCCGCCGCGTCCCGACGATGAAACTGCCGACGATTTTGCCCGGGTGGTACTTCTTGTGGGTGTTGGTGATGCAGCCGGCCTCCACCAGATCCACCACGCCGTCGCTGAACATCTCCGAGTGGATGCCCAAGTCCTTGTGGCCCTTGAGGGAGGCCAGCACCGCGTCAGGGATGTTGCCGATGCCTGAGGGAGGGGGGGAGGGGGGGTAGAGTGGCGTGGAGGTGATTTGATGGGAATTCGGTTGTAGTTTAAGAGAGAGAGAGAGGAGGGGGGGGAGTTGTGAGAGGTTTTTATGTGTAATCCGGGAATGGTATGACGATAGGCAGTTTTGGCTTTGGAGTTACTGAATATGAATATCATTTCATTTCAAAATCAAAATCATTATTTCAAAAACACATTAGATTTGTGTTGAGGATACTATGGTTCATACAAATAAAATTAAATTTGTTTTGTACAACACGCCGTTACACAGCTATAACTCCTCATTCGTAAATATTCAAGAAAGAACGATACATCAAACAGGCATACATATAAACCTCACTGCCAAAGACAAAAAAAACGACGCTTCATCCACGCAATCGACCTACAAATACCATCATCCATTAAACTTCCTTCCGGCGCCCTTACAAAAGGACAACCAATTTACAGCTCGCAGACAGTGCCAACCAACCGACCCGAGTCCTCTCACCCATCTGCAGCGTGGCTCCGTTGTCCACCAGGTTCTCGGCGATGAGGCGACCGATCTCATTTTCAACTTCGGTCCGCTGCTTGGGCTTGTGCTCCGGAAGGTTGTCGATCCCATCCACCATCGCATCAAAATGGCTCTTATGGATTACGCCGTCGCCGAAGGTCCGCGGCATACATGGGTTGACCTGGTTAGCGGGAAAAAATATATATGAAATTTGATTTTTTTTTCTCTCGTATTTGTTTGTAGAGGGCCCTATAGCAAACTATTACTTGTATTTTCTTTTCTCTTTATTATATATATTTTTTATTCGTTCGTCTTTCTTTTCTGTTTCCTCGACATCCCTCACCTCATGCGATTTTTTTGCAATATCTTTCTCTTCCTATTTCACCCATCTTTCTTCCCTCCCTCTTTTCTCCAACTTCTCCGTCATATCCCCCCTCTCCTCTCCCCCTTACTTACCTGCCCAATAATATACTTCGCGTTGATGACAGCTGCCCGGGCGCAATCGACGCTCGTGCCCAGGGAACAGAAGCCGTGTTTGTCTGGGGGAGACACCTGTAATCC